CTTGAGATGAGAAGGGAGAGTAAGAGCGAAGAAGAGGAAAAGTTGAGAGAAAGAGAAACTGACAGGAGGTTAAGATTTATGTATTTTATTTATTTCTACTTTTAGAATTAAGAAATTAAAATTTTAAAATTAATTTTTAAATAATCTAATAAAAAATAAATAAATAAATGTTTCGGTCATTTTGGGTGACCCGACCCACTTGTAACCCAACCCATTTGGGTTCCGATAATTTCAATTCAGATCATTTCAGATTTTGGATTAATACATAAGATCCATAACGGATGGGTTGGGTCGGATTTTCAGATTGGATCCAATTTTGCTAGGTGTAATTATAATAATCTTTTAGGCATTTCTAACAAGTAACCCACCTTTAGTTTCAAGCCTTACACTTATTCATATCACATTATATAAAATTGAGATAAAATCTAAAGTCACTTGAATCACTTAACTTTATTAGGCTCTATTGGTTTTTCATTTGAGTCAATTTAAAAAACCAAATACAATTAGTGGTAACCCACATAAAATTTTTCCAACAACATCATGTTGTGACCTTACAATGCCACATGACATTGTTATGTTAAGTAATAAATATTAGTTGTTTTGTCATTTATTAGCTAAGAGTTAAAATTATTAGTTATTTTTTATAATTTAATCAAATAGAATTAGTATTAGAGATAGTAATTTTCTCCATGACTTGTGGAACTTCATGGGAAACCTTGTCATGGGGACAAAGATTCTCAAAATATTCTTTTGCATTAGGCATGACTGGAGGTGATTTTTTCCCAGCAAAATTTCACGAGGAATTTCCCTTGCATTGTAGATCCATTTGGGGAACCATAAATTAATAAAATATTATAAATTATATTTTTATAAATTATAATAAATCCAAATATCTCAATTTTTAAACCCACAAATCTTAACCACAAACACTATGACTCTTGCATCTCCCCTCTCAACTACATTAGTTCCTTCCGACCTCACCTCTTTGTTTAATTGGTTTCTCTTAATTTGCATTTAACTTACTTTATTTATTTATTTATTTATTTTGTTAGGAAAAGCTTACTTTATTTAATTTATTTTGATTCATTTTTCTAGAAAAAAAAATAGAAATAACTATTTTTTCTAAAATGCTTTCGAACTTTTTTTTTTTTTTTTGAGCTAAGAATTGAATGAATCAAAGTATTTTTGTATGTTGCCAAACAAAACAAAAAGTATTTTTGTATACTTTTGTATGGATTCTCCATACCCACAAAGACCCCTCATTTCTTGCAGGGATAGGAATGGAAGACATTTTTTGCCCTTAGTTAAGAATCCCCACGAGAACTCTTGTATCTACCAATGGCAAGGATAAGGATGGGAAGGGGGTCTTCATCCTCGCGAAGACCTGTTGCTATCCCTAGTTAATATTTTAAAATATAATATTTAAAAGTTTGTATAGCCATAGCCTTTTTATGTGTGGTCATAACCTTACCTACTCTTATCATCTCTAAAAGTACCTATCTCAATTCTCAAATATAGACTTATTATAATAACGACACTATAATTGTAATTTCATGTATGATTATAAATTTATAATTATGATATAATATTAAATAAATATAATATAGTATTAGATAAATAAATGCATATACATGCATATAATATCATGAGTAAATCTCTAAATAAAAAAAAAAAGAGATTTTTTAAATTTGAAAATGGTTTTCGTTAATTGAATTTCTAAACAATTAAAAAAAAACCTCAAAGTTATGTCATTTTATTAAAACAAAATCACGATAAACAGATTTAAAAGTAACTTATTTTTGTCTATAAGATTTTATTGAAACATCTGGCTGATAATTGATAAATGAAAAATAATTTAAGGATAATTTTTTGTATCATTTTTTTATATAATTTTATATGTCAGTTAAATAATTAATTCTTTCTATTTATTTGGGATCTATAATATTAAGTACATTTATTCATTAAATAACATGTAAAAATTATATAAAATATTATATAAAAAAGATAATCCCTATATCATTGCTCTTGATAAATACTTTACTCTCTTTTTAAGGTATAAATTTGTAATTTTTGAATGAATGTGTAATTTTGAGCTCGAAGTGAGGCAAGTCAAAAGGAGGCAAATAAATTTTTGGCCATTAACCACGCATGGAACCCATATTATCACAAGTGCATCCCACATGATACAGCCGAAAAGAATTTTAACCTTATTTCGCATGTATCTTTTCAATTTTTAAATGAATTTCCTTCGAAAATAGAGTTCTGCAATTAAATTAAAAATTTGAATTCCAAAAACTTTATCAATGTAAATTTCAAAATTCAGCACCCATACAAAGTTCAAGTTTCATCCCAAATCCGAAAGGACATTTGTAATTTTCCCTCTTTAGTGGTTTTGACTCTCATTTTCATATCCCTTTGAACCCAACCCACCGTCCATATATATGAAGAGTCTCTATCTTGGCTAATTGTCTCTATGCATTCATAATTGAAACTCATTCTTCCAAACTGTATTTTTCTCTCTAGTGCTTAGCAAACAAACACTGTAGACGGTCAAAACTTGCTTCCATCACACATCCGTTCGTTTAAGTTTGTCATTACTAAATTAAACCTATCATTTTCTTGGACTTTCTTGGCAACAGTTTCCGTGCTGAAAAACTGCAGAGTTATAAAGTTCGATTTCGTGGATATATATGAATCCTGAATTAGCAGAGCTTCTGTGTGTCGTTAGTGCATCCATTCGTTAGTGCATCCAATCTTTTGCAATGTTGCTTTCTCGCATAATTCCCCCGTTTTAGGTTCACCTCACATCCTTCCTTGGATTTTTCGTCTC